GAAAGAAACATTGAAATTAACGCGACACCGTGACACTCGAGCGCGCGTGTATCGCTGACAAAAAAAGCTTGCGCCAATTAGCGATAACGAGACAATTCGTAGTCGCGACGCGTCGTCTCACCCACGCGTGAAAAAAACTACGTTTCGGGTTCAAAGAATGCCGCCATTTGGATACACGTCGCGAATTCCGCGCGACGATAGGAAAACATTCGCAGACGCGTCGCTAACGAGCGTCAATTAACGCCTGAATCGAAAATGCTAAATATTTCTTTGACGATTTATTTAATTTACCTCATAAACAGGTAACAATGTCGCGGACTCGGGAACGAAACGAGACGAAATGCGACGAAAGACCACGAGGGTTCTAATTTTCAAAAGAAACGAGTGACGTGAAATTTTTGCTTTGCTACACGAAGTGTAGGAAACAAACGATCGTTAGGGAGGGCAGGGAACGTCGGTGAAGGAGGAACTTGGCTGATTAGCGGTATTGTTCAGGAAACTGAGCGAATCCGTATGCTGGTAGGCTTTTGTTGCCGTATTCCAATTCGGTTTGGCCGTGTTCGGCGTCCGTCAAAGCGGTAAATTGTATTTCCAGCCCCGCATAAACTTGCCCACCCCCTGGAACCCGTGGTCGTCGAAAGACTACTCCCGAAATTCCCGGTAAATGCAATTAGAAATTCGCCCGGTAGGTTGTGTTGTTACGAAATTTCGTAAATTCGAAAGCTATACAGGTGCAAAGGGATTGTTCTTCGCTCTATTCGATCGCTTTTCATCTTTATGGCTGCCCACATTTCATCAAACGAAAATTACTTCTAAGGGTAATCAAAAATATTTGAATATTTCCCGCTCGATTCGAGGAGTTGGCACGATCCGTGCGAGAAGTCGATACATCGCGAGTACTCGACGGTTCGAGAACCGCCGTGAAACTTTACCAATTAAATTTCCAGAATCCGGTTGCTCTCTTCTTCTCGAAGGTAGATAATGCCAACTCATCCAGACTCTCGATGGAACTTTGGCCTGGTAGACATCGCGAATGATCGATTGCCACTCCATTTATTTCGACGATTTTTCTTGTCTCATTTCAACCCCGCGGATGCAGATGCGTTCTGAATAATGTTGCTTTCTTCGGCAACTGTTTGACTCGTCGAAGGGGAGTAACAGCAATTCGATTTCGATTGATTACTCGTGAAAATTTCACGTAGCGTTATTGAAAACCGGGGTGGCGAATATTGGTTTCGCGGCTAGTCTATTTTGATCGAGTTAGCGAAATTGAAATTAGTACACCGACTGTTCCTCGTTTAGGGGGCAAATTTAATTTATGAAAGCAGGCATTTGCGTGGGAATGAATTACGGGATGGAACGTGCACCGGCCAACATTTATCGACTGCTACTACTTGATTACGTTAAATTGGATGTCGATTAATCTCTAATGAAAAGAATTCACTTGCCGGCAGAAAGGTATTCTGATTGATGGGCTCGGAGATTCGAAATTCTGGACATCAACGTATTATCTATAAATTGACACGTTGATTGACACAGTAGAAACGGCTATATGCTGTACAACGCCGGGTAACGTGAATTATTAAGGATATTAATGATTAATTCTTCGATCGAACGTTTTAACTTTTTATTTCATCCCATGAATCATTCGTTCGCATTTCGGTGGTAAAACAAACATCGCCCATCTAATAATTGATTCAGCGAAGAAATACTAATAAAAACACAGACGGAAAGCTCGTGGATTCGATCGATGAGGCGTAAGAACTAGAAAAGGCGAACACGAAGTAGCGGAAGATGATACGAAATGGACGGTAGCGATGTCGATTCCCTGCAGAATTCGATTGTTACGCGGCATAGGGAATATCGATTCCGGTGTCGGCCTCTTCGTCGACAAAAGAAAGCAGGAAAGACAGCCTCTACCCCTATCTACGGGGCGACGTGATCGACATAGATGGTCGGAAGCTATTGTTCGAGTTCGTCGTTACGCGGTGCAGTTCACAGAACAACCCTTTGCACGCGTTCTTCCATCGCTTTTTTCCATGTCTGTGTCTGTACATGTATACGTGGGTGAATGTACATTTCGTTGTATGTCGGTACCATCTCGCGAGGAATCAGGGACCAAGATTTTTCAACCTCGAGTCTCGGGAAATTCTGGAAGAATGCGATGGGAACGAGCTTCCTCCCTCCGCGATTTACAATCCGAGATATAATTCCAAACGTAATTGAAAATACCTAAATATCTAAATCTTCGCGCAATCATTGAGTGATTTCCATGCTTGTCATCGTCGTTGAAATTGCTGAAGGGTGCGGATGTAAAGCGTCAACGCAGTCAATGAAACAGTCAAACGATACGAAATAGCAGGATGGAAGTGACAGAGTGACGAGTAAACGAAATTGGCTCCGTGACGTAGAAGGAGAGAAAAGTCGTCGCGTCGCCTCGGAGGTGTATTTTTTTACTAAATCGTGCCTGGCACGCTGAAAAATGAGGGTTGCGGTGCCTGGACCGTGGAAATAGGCACACGCAGCTTACTGCCATATTTTCCGTACAATGGAGCGAAATTGACTATCTGCGAGCTGGCATTTGCCGCGTGAAAGAGGGGAACAGATTCCGGAGATTTCCTCTCCCGTTTTCGATTCGATACACACCCTGGCTTGGCCACGATTTACCCGAAATTCTTCCTCGAGTACCCACTGGCTGCGAGTCTACCAACTTCACGAAAGGTTTATGAAAATCAGCCAATCTCTCGAGCTCCACTTCAATCTGAATTTCGTGCCACGAAAGTCTGAGTAGGAAAAAGATTAACTCGTTCGAAACTTTTCAAATTGTTTTATTTTGAATAAAATCTGTGGAGGATCTGACGTTGCTTTCAACTATCTTGTTCACTGACAGTCGACTCAACTGTTTGAACTATGATACATGGAGGTTGTGAAATATGCTGGTATCACAGTAGAGCAAGCGCGTATCTGGTCAGATAATGATCGATGGCCCAGTGAAAGCATCTAGCCTATGGCCAGTCGTTGCTCAGTCAATCATTGGAAAAAATGTTTACTCATGCTCGAACTCTGGATGAACTCTGAACAGGAAACAACGAATGATAAAAGCTCTGTGTTCGTGGCGTTGTCTAACATAAAATCAATTATCCCTGAAATCCAGTTTCTGTTAACGAAACCCTGGGCTCATTCGTTCACCATCAAAGGTTAGCCGCGTTCCAGAAGTAGATGCGCACCGGAAGTCGTCTCGCAGCACGGCAGGAACGGTCTGGAATTCGATTATACGAAGGAAACCAGGGAATGTATGGATCGCGGCTTAAAGCTTCCTCCTGTGTATTCATTGGCCACGCATCCGCGATAGAAATACCGCCTGAAGCTTCGCTCTGGTCCATTCGGTAGTCGCGTATCGTGCGGACAGCACCCGGTCGCGGCAAACAATTATTACTACTTGGCAAACTCAAACAGTTTAGTCGAAACAGCCGGCATTTGCAAACAGTTTGCTACACAGCGAACGCGTAACAGCTCGCTTCTGCTAAACGAGAACGTCACGCAGTTCTCGCGTGTCAACGCTCGAGCACGTACGTGTTACGTCCTAGCGTTTGGTATGCGAGCGAGTGAGCTACTAGTATCCGCTCTGCCACCGGATAATCGTGATGTAATGGAGTGTAGCTCGGTTAATGAGATAGGTTGCTGGTCGTTCGAGTAACTTGCCAGTTCTCTTCCCTTACCTTCTCTCCCTTGCTTCCTCTTCGAATCGCCCGGGGTCTTTCCTTGCAAGTTCACGCGAAGACGGTGATACGTGATCCTAATTTTGTTGTGTGTTAGAGATGAAATAACCTGCGGGTTATTTGCGCCAACTCGATATAATTGCGTATTTGAATCTATGATTTCGGTTAAAATCGAGGCTTTTACCAAAGTAGTTATAAAGCCCGGTTTATACAACGTTCCTTTGTTTGCTTTCACTGGGCAGGAAGTACCAGGACATGTTACAGATAAGCTCACGAGGGAATAAAGATTACGTTCTCGCAAAGAAACGGCAACCTTAAGACATACTAATCTCAGAAGTTTCCACAGATATATCTGGCGATTTGTACCGTTGTAAATCCTTTGTCATTCCTGTAACCGTTTTCACTGTACACAACAGGCTAGCGTGGCATTTATTTCTGAGACATTCAGCTTCATTTCTGTCTGTACGTACGTGCTTCGAAACCCATCCGGTTACACTTCTCGGCACCCCCTCTAGCCGTTCACCCTCGACGGCTCGATAATATCCACGCAGAGCCGCGCCGCGGGCTCGCTTATTGGGTAGTTGTCTAATCGACTGTGCAACTCGATATAGGTATACTAGCTTATACTGTTTCTACTGCTCGACTCCCTCTATTAGTCTGTTTAACAGCGTTAATTGAACGCGAAACTGTGCGCTATACGATCTTCCTATTTCTACTCGTCTTTCTTCCTTTCTACGTGAAAAAAAAAGTAACTCTTCGGAATCAAGAATAAAAGCACAGCTGCTTTGTAATTTCATTTTGAATCTTAGAAACTTCAATTGTTTGTTTCGTTTCGAAGATCCCAGTAAACTTTTCCCTCGCCGCATACGAGAATAAGTGAAACTCAGAAACGATTGGAGTTACTTCAAGTTCAGAATTTCCATTGAAAACGTATGCAGATGACTGAAGACAGCCTTCCGTATTCATTACACACCATTCACCAGTATCAGACCCGCGCAGATCACCGAACTGCTTCCATCTCGGTTATACACTTTCTGAATGGTAAATGTTGAGCTACTTGAAAGTAAATTATCTTTGTTGGGATAAAGGATTCGGGTTTAGGAATCCTCTGTAAGGCTGCACGTTGGACATTCAATATCAAGGTCCAACATCCGTGTTTAACCGACCTCTTGATCTTTCTCTAAGCTGCTTATTTTACTGACTGCCTTTTTTATCCCGATTGACTTTTCAACTTGAAGCTAAGTATAGATCTGAAGTTTTTGTGTTCTTCTTCTGTTTCAGGAGTGAACGCGCGTGTAAATCAGCCACCATCGTCGTGAACTGGTCAAGAAAAAGAAAGAAAGGCATTGAATCGCGTAAAGTGCGCGATATTTCAGTGACCCATTGACTGCGAAGCGTATAAATGAAACCGCGTACCGCGACGTATCGATGTTTCCGAGATCCCCACCCTCCCCGAGCGAAGCTGCACACGTAGAAAGGATAATGGGGTTAGAATCGAGAAGTTAAACACGTGGGATTTTAGACTCGAATCTCTCTGCCGTGTCCAGACAAATCCGGAAAGACGAGACAGAAGTTAATTAAAGTCAATGATCGAGTCTAATGGTAAGCTGCCGGTAGAAAGAAGAAAACTTCTCCTTTTCCGCGAACGAGAAAGATCGAAGCTCGAGCCTGTAAAAGGAATTCTTAAGTTTCGCGAGGCTGCCTGCTTCCTGGTGGTTCGAGACCTTCTTGGCTGGCTAATTGCAGCTACTTTTATTATTCAACGTGTACTAACTAATTAAGAGACGCGACTTGGAACTTCACCGAGAACACGATACTGTAAACAGACGTCTGACTGGCCGCGACGGCGAAATCGTTGACTTATACTACTGAAAACAGACGTCTGACTGGCCGCGACGGCGAAACCGTTGACCTATACTACTGAAAAACAGGAAATTGCGATCTAATTCGATGATTTCGTCTCTTAAAATCTCATCAATCATTTTATACGGGTTGTCAGATGAACGGTAGACAATTTTTCAAATATAAATTCAAGGGGGAAGATTCAGGTCCATTGCTGATAAGCGGAATCCGTTCCATCGTGGCACGTCGTGAAGCTGAAACAGCTTATCTCCCACTTGCCGGTCTCGTACGCGCGGATGACGAAGAATACGTGATCCAGTTAGACGACAGTGAACTTCAGGTTCTCTCTCGTGTCTGATAACTGCTAATTTCCATAATGGCACCGTGTACGAGTACGGTCGCTTACGTTCTTCTCGCTCCGCAACACTTTCCATTCTCCGGCTACGGGGAGATCGATCGGTATCTGATTGATTTCCACTCGATTTGGACGTCTGTTAAATATTCATCGGGATCGATGGAAATTAAGGTCGTCCAATTAGGGAGCACACGGTTACTTTGAAGATTAGAGCTAGCGTTGGAAAGCAAAATTGTCTTAATGATTCTTTTCGATTCAAGATGGAGACATTAGCTCAGATGTAAGCAGGTGCGATGCTCTTCACGAGGATAGTGGTTAAGAGACAAAGTCAAAGTTTTTCTGTTACGACTGAATTTCTATTTTCACCATGGACTGGTATAGAAAGTTCGCAAACTTCCTCACCTTTTTCAATTACCCGAAATAGGAATATCTGAAAGTTCTTCTGGGAAACGTTTCCCGCTAACTTTATCTAGCCAGCGATTTTCTCATCCTCTCCGCGTATACTTCGAACGTGCATGCACATATCACCGACAGTCGTTCCGCTTTATCTCGCATCAAAGAGGCAACGATGAAAATTTCCTACGCGAGATGAGAATTCGAGACAGAGACAGTTCAAAGCCGCAGAATTATATTTCTATTTAGAAAGCTGCAAAGATGAGCTTCGACCCGCCAGGAAGCCAAGTCGCTGAAATAGTCAAGTGAAATTAGATCAGCTCCTTGCATTCTTTCAAAGAGCGCAAGAAAAAGCTGACCCGGTTTCAATCCATGACGTTCGTTCGTGAAACATTTCGTTGCGGAAGAAAACAGAGCGTGTCCGTGGTGTAGCGTTCGACGACTCTGGGGGTGGAAAGTTTGCAATTGGTTTATCGGCAGTTTGGTAGCTGTTAAAATCGGGACGAAACGGTCGCTGGTTTTCCAGGGAAAAGCATCACGGGAAGGTTGCGTCGGGGAGGCGTGCAGTTAGCGCTCGAACAGGCCTAAATGAAGAGAGATCGTCACGGGGACAGGTGATCGATAGGGATTGCGAGGAGCCGCGCAATTCTGGAATCGTGTGTGCGCTCGCGCGGAGATCGCAGGCTGATCGTGGCGGTAAAACGCGAGGGGAGGGACGGAGAGCAAGATGGAACTCTTCCTGATTCTCGTCTGTCTAATTGCACCGCCCACCCTCTCGCTCTCGATCAAGAGCAAGTTGAATCCAAGGATCGTTCAAACGCGGTACGGCGAGGTGCAGGGGTTAGTACGGTCCTTCGAGTACGCCAAGTTCCTCAAGCCGATCGACGTCTATCTTGGAATACCGTACGCCACCCCACCGGTCGGGGGCAACAGATTTTCACCGACCAGGGCACCCAGCCCGTGGGAAGGAGTCAGGTGAGCGCTTCAGATTTTCTTTCCCTTCTCTCTAACACCCCAAAAAGCAAACGTTGCGCTTTCTAACTATACCGATGCAGAAAATTGCATAATTTCACTGAAATTCTACGCTATGTAAGAACATGAATTCACTGTTAGAAGAGTGATGCGAACTTCTGAGAGCCCTGTTTCAGAAATTCGCAAACTCACGCTACTCTAGTGTATTCCATTCAAATGGACCGACGATTTCCTGGGGCTTGCTTCTCGCTACTTGTTGGCGTAACAAAAACAGAGACATAATTATTCATGAATTTAATCTCCATACCCTATGACGAACTAGTGGGACAAAAGATACTCAAAACCGACTGCCACAAGAAAACACAATAAACCGACAATCTGCAATTAATTGCTCTGAAAATTATTCATCATTTTTTTTTTTTTTTTTAAAGCGGATAGAAAATTTCCACTCTGTGTTCTATCAGATATTAAAATTCTGCGATATTTCAAAGATGCGACTGCGTCGCATACAGAAGTAGTAGATTCAAGCGAATCCCTCTTTGTAGATTATCGGATTCGGTCGGTCCAGTTTGTCCCCAAAAGCTGCCCGACATCTCGAATGAGCAAGAAGCACTGGAGCGTATGCCGAAAGGCCGATTAGAGTACTTGAAGAGGCTACTACCTCATTTACGGAATCAGAGCGAGGATTGTCTCTACTTGAACATCTACGCACCTGCTATGGGTGAGTAATTCCATGTTTATCCGCTTCCAAGCCTTACCTTACTGCTTCAACCAACTACTATTATCGTTATTAATTAGGTCAGCTTCGAATGCTTGAAAAGCTAACTTTAACTCTGTCCACATTGAAATGTAATAATTCCGTGGACTGTGAGAAGGTTAGCAATTAAATTGCGAATATTTATGCAAAGTACAGCTTTTCCCATGTTTTTCATATCCTGTGTGTTCCAAATGTTTCATATTGATTTTTTTACATGTAGGGCATAGTTTACGTGTGTATCGCACACTTACACGTGTCATAGATGCATAAATATCCGCAGTCTACTAACGACACATCGAAATTAACTTGTCAGGCGCGGTTGCCGGAAGTTATATTGACTCGTTCCACTTAATTGCCAAGTGGGGAGACTGCGGTATTGCGTTGGATGGGGAGGAGGGATGATTTATGAGATATTTTATTACCGGCAGCAATTTCCATTGTGTCAGCGTTTCTATTCTTTGTAAAAATACCTTCAACCCTTTATTGTTTCTTTCATTGACGCTTCAATATTGATGCGAGCTTTAAAAGCGGTTATTGGATATTTCTATTAAATGGATAGAGGAAAGCGGTATGGCATCAAAATTGTCTTGCTATTTTTCAATGAAATTATCATTTTGATTTATCAGAAAGCAAACAAGCATCAACTTCAACCGATCTATCTGTTCAAATACTCGAAAGTACATTGATCTGTACAAACGAAAAATGAATCGAATGATAAAGACAGGAAATTATAAACGAACGAGAGACCGTAGAAGCTCGCTTGATACACGAAACTATCGCGAACAAACGGCGCTTCTATATTAAGTACACTTGCCGTTATTGAATACTCAAACAATTCGTCGATGTTGCCTTCTACAACCCCCTTTGTTTTCTCCTACTATACGATATATATGGTAAACATGATGGAAACAAATAAAACTAGCTTTCAAGCAGTAACGTTGATTACACTTACCTTTAGCTTGTCACAAACGATCGCTTCAACTACGTTATTGCCGCGGAATATAAAATTTCCATTCGGAAAAGGAGAAAATTATGTGCAAAATTCACCCACGCGACGGTCATAGTTATTTTTATTCAGAAACGTGTAATTTGACGATGTCTCGTGTTTAACAAATGGACGCAGTTTCCAACAATTTTACCAGCAATTTAAAAACTTCTGCCTCGACGATTCCACCGCGTCACTGTTTTTTTCCACTCCACCCCTCATTCTCAGCCCTTTGTGCTGTCGTAGACGCGTGGACCTGTACACGTATCTTGTTGGAAAACGTCGCGACGTTCTCGTTCCTGTTCCCTTTGCCGTTCAATTTCCGGCCCGGGAGAGGGTGTAAGAAAAACCCCGGACCCAACATGGGGTGGCTCGTAGACGCGAGGAAAAGTAAAATTTCCCATTTCGCGGAGAAAATGCAATGATGTACTATTATTGAAAGCGTTCCTCTCGGTGTTCGCTGCACGCAGCGTGAGAGAAATGAAAACGTGCAGGGAAAGCGAGGGGGTTGAAAGGTTGAGCTCACCGTAGGAGGGATGCATATTGCGTACACACATCACGATGTTCGACGTTTTCACGTTGCCGATGTAAACCTTCTCTTTGGTGTTCTTTTATTCATCCATACGTTTGCAGCCCTTTGTCAAAATAACGAAATAACAAACGCAGAGGGTGGTTTCGTGTTACTTAATTACATCGTCGGTGACAACGAACAGGATTATTCGAGCCGCGAATTGGCTGTATCAGGTATCGAGAAGGTGGTGCTAAAGCATTACACGTGTTTAGTAGGATGTCAATAGGCTACTCGTGTTTGCAACCCGATGATCTTCAGACATCAGAGACGTCCTGGGGTTGTCGGACACCTTGTCGACTAATCGTGATATCTGTTCACGTGAAATCGATAGAAGTCAAGTCTGTATCTCATATTCAAAGAAAAGAGAAGGTATACTATCGCTAGAATTACGATTCCACATTTCTCTTTGTCTTGACAACGCGTACTCTTGATTTCTCGACCTAAAGACGAGAAATAGAGATGCTCCGTTCGCATCCACATTGAACGCGACTGCTGGGTTTAACTGGCACAATCGTCGGGCAGAAAATAGGATTCAATTAAATTTAACGAGTTTCATTCTAATCTTTTGATTCCACGAGCCTCAGGACAGTTTAAAATTGATCAAATAAACCCTGCGCTTAAGTTTTATTCGCAAAATCGTTCGGCGAGTCGAAATTGCCGGGAGATAGCGTTCGTTATACAGAAAATAAACGGTGTTTACAATTGGCATCGTTTCGTCCCGTTGACGCGAGTTTTCGCAAAGTAGCGTTAGAGGAAGTAACCCATTTAAACGCGAGACAAGCACACCATTGCATCACAAAAGGAAGTAACGTCTAAGTGGTATCCTAGACAACGAGAACGCCGAGAGCCCTTCTGACGGTCCTTTTAAGCAATCATCAGCAGAACCTGGTGGATACTCGAACATTAGCACATACTGCGAGGTTAACGAGCGATCGATCGCTTTCGTTGAAAAGAGAAAGTCAGATCTTGTAGCTGCATTTGAAAAATGGGAATAGAAAAAATCTCTTAATAATTTTATGAATCAGTTAAATTTTTTACATTGTAAAAAATTTCGCTCCAGTATATGCAGAAAGACTGTAAGCCTCGAAGGATCGTATCCACGTGAAATTTTCACACGACTAAAGGTTCTCGGCCACAGAGAATTCGAAATCAAAGAAAATCGGGCTTAACGAACCCTCGCCTCGGCTCGAAGCTTAACGCCGCATTTACGATTCAAAGTCGTATCTCGGAGCGATCCTCGGCTTCCTTAGCCAACTTATCCACCGCTTTAGAATATCCGTCGACGCGTCGCGTTAACGATCCTCTCGAACAGCTTCCCGTGTGACGAAACGTTCGAACGACACTTCTGAAACGATGCCGGGCGACATTGAAAGTTACTCGCCCCGACGAGTTCATTGTTTTCTCGGTATCGTATTCGAAATTCTCAACCTAATGGAAACAGGGACCAGACGAAAGTTCTGACTCGTTTAATGTACGGATCCGTCCTTCCTTAGTTCGTTGTCGAACTTTTCATCCGGGAAAGCGGCGAAGAAAAAGAAAGAGTCACAATCACACGGCCGCGTGCGTTCGCAATCTTGAGTCGAACGAAGAAAGAAGGTGGCAAGTTTTCTCAGCCAGCGAGTAATAATCGAATCCGCAAGTTCCTCGTGGAATTTGTTTCAACTTCCGTTGATATACTTCTTCGAGAAACGTAAACTTCTTTCTTCTCCCGTCTTCTTGTTGGACGGTCGAGACAGGAGCGGGGCTCGTCGTCCGTGAAATTATTTGTTCGTTCAGGGCGAACGGGGGATAAAGTGGCTTCTCCTGTTCCGTCAGGAACGTCCCTTTATATCGCTGATCCGGGATCCGCCTAATGCTCGCCGATGATCAAGCACCATTTGTATTTGCCACGCGGTTTCTTGCCGCTCGAATCGCGAACGTTTTTGCACGGACACGCGGAGAAAATGCTTCTCGGGCTTGCTACCACCCCTCTGGATGAAAGTTTATTCTCCCCGCTGATGGGAAACCGCGCAAAAAGGGCGAGAGTAAAGAGGGTGCGACGGCGATTCAATTAGGGAAAAAGGGAGAGCCTGGGCGAGATTTGGGTGAATTTTTGACACCAATTTTCTGGATTACACGTTGTATATCGAATGTAATAAGGGTTTCCAAAGGGATCGAAATTGTTGCAGCGAGTAATACACACGTTTCTTGTACACCGAACTGTGCAGAGTTAGATACGGGATTCAAATTATTCAGTATGCTTCGTTTAAAGTTCACCAGTCACTTTAGCTACTTTAGTTCCCGAGAGTTGAAAACTTGCTCCTTCGCGGGTGAAACGTTTCAGAATATTAAAGTGCGACTAACTTATACGGAATTCAACATGTTTCTTTATTCAACACGTGAGGTCAGTTTCATCTGAGGGATCTGATATAAAATGTTTGATGAGATCTGGTTAAATAGCTTCAACAATAGCGCTTAAAAATTCCGGGGGATTTTGTTTATTCGATGATGAAGAAAAGATCAGAAATGCTCGTTTTTCGTCAAAGGTATCCGCGTGAAATGTCGTCCGTCAGACGCCTCGGGGTGACTGCGTCGCCTCGTTAGCTCGCGAAGATGTCGTTTTAATTAATCACGCCGCAAAGAAGCGTCGTCGTGCACGCGTCCCCCAACGCGCGGGATCCTTAATGAGAAAAAAAAAGGGGGGAATTCGAGCAGGATGAAGAGAGACATCAAAGATCTCTCCAGCTGGCAGCGAATGAACGGTTGGCTCGCACTTGGAATACGAATTACCTTTCACAAAGGAACATCATCCTTATCGTCTTCTCCCTTCTTAACTTTCCTCTCTTCCCCTATTCTGATCTTGCTTTTGCGCGAGTACTCGCGTGCGTTCAGAAGATAACTGAATAGGAGAGAGGGAAGGAGTATAGTCCACGTGTTATTTCATATTGCATTCGTAACTTCTTACCTCCCTTCGTTTCTTTACTTCCTTTTTCATGGGATAAAAGGTGCTTTTATTCTCTTGCTACGTGCCCAGTAGATTTTTCAACTTACTTGGAAATTTTTAAAAGATACAATTGCTAAATCCAACCATGACTCCTTGCTATCAGATATTATAATGTCAAACCTTAGCGTGTTCCTAACAAAAGTCATTCACCGACTTAACTTGTACAACCTCTCAGAAATCTCTTTAACTAGCACATACAGGGTTTCTTTGCCAACTTAAGAACGCTGCCGCCTAACTAATCCGTCCTTAAGAAAAAAGATAAGGTGCTGTAGTATTTTTCTCGAGCTTCTACAAAATTAACTTCGTTAAATTGCCTTCGTAGTATCCTCAAACTCGACAGAACGTACCTTTCAATTATGGTTCGCAACACAAGTGGAGTTATTCCGCAGATTACTACCCTTGAACCGGTCAATAGCAAGAGAAAA